TCTCGCTTTCGCATGAACAGGTTTTCTAAAGGAAACTAATTTCAACAGTCCATGAAAAAGTCTCAAGAGAAGAGGATTCTATTGTTCGAAHCCCAACTAAGAAAACATTCATTTAGTCTATTCAGTTATTTTTTTCTGTATATAGCGTAATGCCTCCGTTCTCGGTATTACTTACAGAACATGCTGGCAGTTAAGGGGTGGGTTGCCTGTGAAAAAAACCCATTTGTGCACGCCTTATCTSTATAATGCAAAGTGCTTTGTTGCGGCTCTCTTCACTTGTTCATTCCAATTATCGAATTCCATGAGTATGCTGATTGGTGTCCCATTGGYACGAGAAAAAATCTTTGTCTTTGTTTACATATCAAGTTTTAAACAAATGCATGTTTTTTTCATTGGTATATCAATGTGTAATCATCAAAATTTGCTTCACGTATTCTTATCAACCTTTTATTGACTGATATTTTGCAGCTTATTGCTTTTAACGAAAAGAACAAGGATGCCGGCTCAGGGGCGCGGGCTCAGAAACAAGCCGTTGATCGAGTGAAAGCAAATATCAAATGGCTGAAAAGCAACGAGCAAGAAGTAGAGGAATGGTTGGAAAAGTTTCTGAAAGACAAAAAGATACCTTAAAAAAATGTTTCATGCCTAGCTTTTTAGTGAAATACGTATTTCGTTTTTATCCGGAATTTATGATTGTCTTTCTTTTCATGCGATGAAAATTTAGAAGCAGGTACTAATAGACGATTTTTCTAGTGAAAGATGTATATGCAAAACGTATTTTGGGGCGATTATATGGAAACCAGTGATCGGTCCATGATATTGCAATACATATCTCCTATTTTTCGATTGACCTTTTTTTATTATTTTTTATGTTTATATTATGTTTTTTACTTTGATTTCAGTTAATATTTGACATGATGTATTTCTTGTAGAAATCATCAAAGTGTTATGTATAGTACATGCTACATAAGTTTGAAACAATTCTAGCACCTAATAAAATTAGTTATCAACTAACTAATTTAGAGAGGTATAAACAAAGACAATTTTCTAGAGTAAAGTCATTAGGGCGAAGTCATGAAACCTGTGAAACAGAATTTGACTATTTTAAAAAGTGCGATAGTCAAATAGACACAAAAGAAAAGACTACAATTAGTGTGTGCTAGATACTAAAAGGCGTATCAGTRTAATATCATTTCAGGGTTTTTTTTACTTAACTCTAAATCCGTGAGACAAAACTAGACTATTAAAATGTGATAGCCAAAGAAAACAACAGAATTAGAGTATACTAAGTTGTATATTAAGCGTAATGTCTATTTCACTTTTTTTTTTACTTCAGTCTATCTGGCATTGTGTCCATACACCAGGGAATTCTTAGTTGATAACTAAAKCCTATTAGCTGTTGATTGTCAAAAATTGTTTCGCACTTTTGTGGAAAGCTCGATTTTTTCTATGAATAAAGGTTTTTCTTATATACTAACGTTCGTGTTCCTTAATGTTTTGACTATTTTTGTTGATTGTCGATGTTTTCACAAGGGAAATCAATGATTTTTGTTGAGTGAAAACTTTTCAAATAGAGATGAGGGTTAAGCGTCGTTCATGTTGCATGTCTAGATATTTGGTTTTCAAGGCGACGGTACTCTCTTTCTCCTGTCCAAATTTGTATGCTACGGTAGACGTATCCATGATGGCTTTTAAATAATGGTTTCTCAAAAACTTTTCTATAACAACGACTGTGACTAGCCCTAACCACTACCATGCCCAGTTCACTTTAGAGCATGGCGTAATACACTGAGTCAGCACCGTAGCAGTTATGTGCTATCAAGAGAAAATGAGGTAAGAGAAGGAATCCCTGGTACTGCGTTCTTAACCCATCATATCAGCCCTTCGTTCTATTTTTAGAAAAAGAGCTATTTTTAGAAATGGAACATGATTGGTCAGATCGTATGATCGATCAAGGACAACATCCTTTCGTGTTGAATCTACAAATGTAAATTATGCGTTTTATAAATTATCTATTCCAGGTTAAATATTACTGCTCGAGAGGTCAGAGAATTCAAAGGTCAGATTGTCGATCTAATTTCATGTCACATTACCTTCAGAAGCTGATTCTTCTTCGACACTTTCAAGTTTTCTTTGTTTTGAAGAAGATTCCTTTTCTTCTTCAAGAAGTTTCCTTTTTAAAAGCGAATTTCGTAGCTTTAATTTTCTCGAACAGTATTTGACATTCAGTTTTTGGCGATGAAAAATAGCCGATATCAAATTCCGATAAACGAGTAGTGGTCGCGCGGGCTTGGTAACAAACTAAAAATAGCTCTTTTTCTAAAAATAGAACGAAGGGCTGATATGATGGGTACCAGGGATTCCTTCTCTTACCTCATTTTCTCTTG